GGAACCAGAACCCCTTTGGAGCAGGACCAGGACAGCACTTGCAGTACCCACAGATTTGTACAAAGCATCACATTGATGATATCCAAAACACTACCAATCCTTTCCTAATGCCAGCAATGAAATTCCTATGCAAATGGAAGTCCACTTTTTATGTTAATACCTCTTTAAACACCAGCTCTTGGAATGCTGATAGGGCAGAACTCGACAGCTGGCACCTGGTGATGGAACAACACMGGTAAACAGTTGTGGGACAACACAAAACTCTTACAAAAACCCCAATTTCCTGGATGTATCCAACAGTTGCCACGGTGCTGGTTTCTAGGGAGAAATGAGTCTCTGTGCAAGTGTTTCATCCGTGGCAAGTGTTTCGAGTGTCCGTGTCTGCTCCTGCCTGCAGTGGGGCGTTTCCTGCAGCTGAGTGCTCAGAGCCCAAAAGCACAGGCAGTGCTGAGGTTAGGGCTAACTTCTGGGCCAGAGCTGGACGGAGCCCTCTGCGACTCCCACTCATTGGGTGTTTCCTCTGCGTGTCCCAGCCRGCCGGGGAATGCGGGGCAGGAGGAGGCCAGGAGCACCAGAAAGTGAACCAGCACTTCTTGTCCTTTGTATTTCCAGGGGACGAGCCGTGCCCTGCAGCGTGGTGCCCGTGGCACGCAGCGCGCTCCGCAGTGTCCAGAGCTCAGGGAGTCCCAGGCTGTGGCTGTGCTCCTSGCTCATCGTTCCACAGGTGCCACCCTCGGGGGCCATGGCTGTCCCCTGCGCTCCTGGCCCTTGCTGGCAGTCCTGTGAGTGTCCTCTGCTGGCACCAGGGCGCTGCCAGTGCTGGGGCTGCTGCTGTTGGCAGGGCAGCGCTGCAGGAAAGCCAGCAGCTGGGAAGTCTTGGCGGCCAGAGGAGCTCTCCAGCGCGGAACGGCCGCACCTTTGGGCAGGGGGCTGGRTGGTGGGCTGTGCCGCTCCGATTCCTGTGCTTCCAAAGGCAGCCGGCCTGCAGAGCTGCTCCCGGGCACCAGCTGAGCCTGGGGGGACACCACAGGCGTGGGCACAGGRTCCAGTGGCGCGTCCCCCTCGGTGCCGGCCCCTCCGGGTGCTGGGAAGCCGCTGCTTCGCCGGCTGCACGACTCACAGCACAGCTTGTGGTAGCCAGGGATGGAGCAGTAGCGGGCCAGCACTTCCATCTGGCAGAAGATGGAYTTGTCTCCCAGGCAGGGCTCATCTGCAAAACAAATGTTCCAGAGACGGGAACCTGGTAATGGGCACTTGGGAAACGCTGGCACATTGTTTTTGAGAAGGACACTGATTCCCAGTGCCAACCTCCCAGAGCTCCCCCAGACATGCTGGCATGTCCCACCCACTCTGAATCCCTTCCCTTCCAGCCTCAGGACATCATCCATCAGCAGCATTAAAACCAAGGGAATCTTCCCTCACTGAAACTAGATCCCAAGCAAGAACCCTCGCCAATGCCTTTAAGATAAAAGGTTATAGTTGGATATAGCTTTGTTTGGATTAAGTTTGGAATTTTTCAGGGACCAACTGAAAGCTTCAACAGTGGGTCACATCTGAGGTGTGTGCATCCCTTTCCTCAGGACAAAGAACTTGTAGAGGCTCCTCTGGAAACTTTGAAACAACATCAACTTTTGCAGAGAGAGACATCCTCACCTTGGCACAGGGGCTGCCTCATCGTGGGTCAGCAGTACAGTGGGACACTGCCTTCCCCCCCTGCTTTTAAATATCAACTGGAGCCTGATCTCAGAGTGGGTGAAAACAAGCTCAACTCCAAGGAACTCGGTAAAACCCAGTTCTATGGGATATGAATCTCTCCTTGTCATGATCCTGCTGAGCTTCCTCACAACCCTTGCTGGCTCCTGACAAACCTGGTGTRAAAGCAGCAGATCTGCATGGGAATATCCTGCTCCATGAGGCACTGTGAGATTAYTCCAGCCTCAGGATGGAATCTGGGGCTATAGGTACAATTCCCTTTGCCTTTCCATAGTRACAGTGACCCTTATTTGGTCCCACCTCTCATGGTTCATTTTAGGGTATCCRTTWGTGCTGGTTTAGATTCCAYSACTCCACCCACAGAGATTTGGGCTGTGCTTCTCTATTTCCAGCAGGTTCCATAAGGAGCCAAAGCAGATCCCACCTGTCCAGTCTGGGGGAAAAYACCTGCACRGCCAAGGAGCTCTGACCCCTGAGCAGTGTCAGAGCCAGCCAGAGGGAGTTAAAATCACAATAAACCCCAAATCCTACTGAGGAAATAATCCAAAGGAAGATAKGCATTGTTGTCATAAAAAGCTTCAAAACCTGTTAAAAATTCTATGAGAAACAATGTAATGGATTCCCAGGAACCTGATTAGTGCTCTTGGTTCCATGTTTATGTATTTTTCCTCTCTCACTTGGCAGCTTGTAGAACTTAGCCTGGGATTTAGAGGTCAGGCAGGGTTTGCTTTGGGTTGACCTTCACCTCTGSACTCAGTCTGTGCAAACACAACTTGGGCCAATGTGGTTAAACCCTGTTTGAGCACATTTACAGGACAGACCCCGGCACGGGGAGCTGTGACATGCAGAGATTGCTGGACTGGTGTGTCTCCAGGCAGAGTTATTCCCTGCTGCAGCCCTTGCAGCTGCTCTCTTACCATCACAGGCAGYGAGTTTACAGGCTCTGACAGACTCGGGCCGTTCCCCCTCGCAGCGGTCCCCGGCRCGGCACAGCACCTGCCGGCTCTCGGTCCCCTCCCCGCAGGTCACCGAGCACTGCAGACACAGAGAGCACACATCAGGGTGTACTGGGCAGAAATCACCGTGTCCCAGCCAGCTCCGGGCTGGTTTTGGGACGGGCTGGTGCAGCCCCACTGCGCTGCCCACCTGGGACCAGGGCCCGGCTTTCCAGGGCGCGGGGCAGGGCACGTGGTTGCAGGGCCGGCGGCTCTCRGGGCGGTGGCCGCTGCAGAATTTGGCGTGGACGGAGCGGTTGGTGCCGTCTGGGAGGGGCTGGATGCAGCGCACCGTGCGCAGCTGGTAGCCAGAACTGCCACAGCTTTTGGTGCAGTGCTCCCACTCATCTGCTGCCCAGCTGCCAAGGCAAATAGAGTCAGACACCATCAACTGTTCCTCTTTTTGTCCTGCTTTTTTGTGGCTGCCTCAGCCCTGCAGCAAGCTCCATGGCAGGGGGTTGTAATGAGATAAGCTATACAGTCCCTTCCAACCCAACCACTGTATGATTTTCTGATGTATATCTATATATATATATATATATATATATGTATATATATATACATATATAGATATAAATACAATACAACCACCCAATCAAATCAGTGTGCATGCTTGCAGAGGTAGAGACTCCCCTCCATATTCAGGAACTGCAGCCTGGAAAGCTGTCAGCATCCCACCCAATTCATCCATCCCACCCAGTCTGGCTGGGGCTACCCTGTCCCAAGGAGCCCTCCCTGCTCTCCATGCCCAGCCACACTCACAGGGGCTCTGTGCACTCCTGCAAGTTGCACATCCTACGGATGGGCTTTGGCTTTTTGCTGCCTTCACAGAAGCTTCGATGAACCATCTTGTTGTCACTCTTCCTGCGGCACCCATACTTGGTGTACTGGAACCCTGGGGAACGTGTCAGAGAAATCACAAGAATCAGATCTTTGTGAGAATGTTTGGCTTCAATAGGGTTTTCTGGCTTATTAAATGGGTTGACAGGACTCAATTTTGGTATTGGCATTCCCCATTCTTTGCTTAAGAGCCATGGGCAGACCATGAGTACAGGGCATGCTCAGGAGCATCAGTCTGAGTTTGGATGTCCAAAGTGGCTCGGGGTCCAAACTTAAACCCTAAAGAAGCCTTTTTCTTCCTAGGTGGGAAGTGTGACACTTAAGAACAATCATGCACTTCAGGTATTTTAAACTTGAGCACTAAAATAACAAAGTGCTGTTAAAGAAAGGAAGCCAAGATTTTGAAATCACGAGTTCTGGCACTTTATCCTTTGTTCCAGGTGTCTCACACCCTGCTCACCTCCACCGCAGGGTTTGGAGCACTGGGACCAGCTCTTCAGGGCCCACTCGAAGGTGTCCATGTCCTCACGCAGCACGTTGTTGCTGTGGATGGTGGGCACCGAATCCTCGTGGATGATGTATTTGTAAGTCAGGCTGGACCTGGTGTCGTTCCCCCGAGGAATGATCTGTGGATAACATAAACCAGTGCTGTTACAGATTCCTGTGCAAAGCAGGACACCAAGGCTCTGTGTCCCCAGAGCTGGGCACGTCACCCACCAGCACCACCACGGCGTCGTGCAGGGGCCCGTCCGTGTGCAGGGTCTCAGTGTCATCCTCGATGCTGTAGTCCCACTGCACGCCCAGGTCGATGAAGGATCGGGATCTGGCCTCCTCCCCTTTCCCGTTCAGGATGTAGTGTCCTGTAGCCTGGTTCTTGATTGCTGGGAGGAGCGAGAGCAGAGCCTGTCGTGCCTCCCCCGCAGTGGCAGCAATCGGGGTGGCACGGGGAGGGGTTTCCATCAGATTGTGAAAATAATGCATTTTTATCACATTTTGCTTCCCTCTGCACACCCGGGYGTGTCCCAGATGCTAAAATCTGTAAGTGAGTGAGGAGCTGAGGAATCAGAGCCCTGTGGAACTGCCTGGGTTTGGGTTTGGACAGCACACCTCAGCCAGCTACAGCGGGGATTATGATGATGATGATGCTTCAAGTAGAAGTCGATTCATTAAAAATCAGAATCACAGAATGGTGTGGATTGGAAGGGACYTTAAAGAYCRTCCAGTTCCAACAGCCATGAAAAGATGGACTCTCATTTTTCTTCTTTTGGCAGTGTGCCACAGGAATAATTAAAACATACTGAATTTGATTCACCCCGGCAGTGCCCACTTTGATGTGAGCCATCACAATCTTTGGTTAGTAAACATGCAAACTGGGATCAGTTTAATATTTAGATATTTCAAACGAGCAGATGTTTGCTTGCTGAGCTGTAGGACTGCAGGACTAAGCCCTGGCCACACAATTTGGAAAGCCCACATTTACTCAACCCCTTCACTGGGCTCTCTCATCCCTCTGGCATGAGCATCCCGTGCTTCTTCTGCAGCCTCAGACCAAACTTGAGCAGAGAAACACTTACCAAGAAAGTGAGGAGAGGCCTCATCTTCTTGAATAAACACATGGCGAGCCCCAGGAGGGATATCAAACATCTTAAGGTATCCTTTGGCACGTGCAGGGTCAGTGGAGGCAGCGGGGAGGAAAAGAGAAAGGAACAGCCATGGTCAGGAGTGCAGGGCATGGCCCAGCTCTGCTTGCAGGAGAGRGCATCCCAGAGCAAGTGTGCAGCAGACATGGGTTTGGAACGTGTGGGATGGGCCCTGCTGGGCTCTTCTCCTCCAGGGAGACAACAGACACCGCTTACAGACCCATCTGCCACTTCCCAGCTGGGATCAGTTCCATATTTGCAAAAAAACTCAGGCAAAAAGATGTTTCCTGTGTTCCTCGGCACACCAGGACATAAGCACAAGTTTTCCTCAATTATTTTGCCAAATTACTCCTCAGGTTGTTGGATTGGAACTTACTGACAAGTAAAAAGTTGTGCCCAAAGAAAATTATTCTTAGTTCMGATTTCAATTATTTATTTACCAGTGCAAATCACAGGTAACTAGTGCAAAATCAAGGAAGCACTGCCATAAGGGAGAATCCCTTCTAGGGATTGGTCAGAGGTACTTGAAGATCAAGATTTAACCAAGAGCCCTGTGAGTTCTCTGAGTGCATGGGATTTTCATATTCCTGTTATTTCCTTGTTAACAACTGCAGATTTAATGATGCAAAATGACAGGATTCTGGGACTGCTGGATGCACTGGCACTCTGTTCTGCCCCTGACAAACACAGCCCATGGGAAATCCAAGTGAAGGAACAGAAAAGCCAGGAACAGGGAAAGTSCTGGTCCTGGCTGAGCAGTGCATGTGCCCAACAGGATTTCCCATCTTTTCCTCCATCACCTTTAGAGCACAGGGAACAAGTTTTTGCCTGGTGTGGTATTACCTGTCTGTGTCTACAGGAAGATGGGAACTGCCATTCCCACGGATGCCTCTCTCCCTACAAGCTGTTGCACTTACCCAGAATGTTTTTAGCCTCTTTTGTCCCAGAAATGGAAACACTGTGAGCTCCTTTGAGTAAGGGAATGGCTCCTTTGCTCTTCCCTTAAACAGAACACCTGGAATTAGTGCCCTGGGAGCCCAGTCCGGTCATTCCACTGATTGTGTATCACCCAGATGCTCTTTACAAGCAAAAAAACCTATATTACATAATAGACAAATGCATTTACAGCAGATTTGGAAACATCTAGGCAAGACAASCAGTCCATGGAAGTCGGACAATCCGGGCAGGATTTTAAGTTGGATACTTGCAGAAACTGTTTTCTAGAAACTCAAATTCTTTTTGGCACTTCTTGCTTACATATTCCCCTGTTGGAAGAGGTCAATTAGCCTTTTTAATGACCAGATTACCCAAGCCAGGGAAAATCYATCAGTATTCCCTGATGGAATCAGTATTCCATCACTTCCATGTTCATCCACAATCCGGGACCGACGGACAGCAGCCTGTCCTGAACAGGCCCCAAGRGATGCTGTTAGCTCCATTATTCCCAAGGTTTGAATGTGCCTGTGAGTGTGACACAARCCCCAGAGCCACAGGAGCTCCAGGCAGCTGCTGTTCCTACCAAGCTTTTTGGGAGTGCGGGTGTAGGTCCCCTTCACCGTCCGGCAGTGGGAATCGTCCCCGCCGCAGACCCCRCACTGATCCTCGGCCTTGYTGGAGCCAATTTCCTTGTCACAGCCCACTTTCTGCAGAAAAAAAGGGCAAAATTGGATGTTAGGAGAGAATTCTTTTCTATGAGAATGCTGAGGCCCTGGCACAGGGTGCCCAGAGAAGCTGTGGCTGCTCCTGGATCCCTGGCAGTGCCCAAGGCCAGGCTTGGAGCAGCCTGGGACAGTGGGATGTGTCCCCATGGCAGTGACATGGAACTGATGATCTTTAAGGTCCCTTTCAGCCCAAACCAGGTCCCTTTCAATCCCAAACCAGYCTGGGATTCCATGACAAGAAACAATCAGGGGAAGAGGAGCACTTCCATGCAACAGGTCTGCGCTGTTCTCTAATTTAACATCAAAGTCAAGGACTTGGGAGGCAAACAACGCTGAAAATCTGGAATTTAGAGACACYTGCAAAGTGTCTCCGTGCCACTGAGCTGTCCCCAGTGTCCCTGGGCAAGCTGCCACTCACCACACACTCYCCACGGACACAGATGCTGTAGGGATCCTTGTAGGAACAGCGAGTCCCGTCGTGCACTGGCTGTTTCATGTGAGCCACATCCCCYGTTTCCCTGGACTGGCAGTACAGGTGACACCTCCTGGGAGCTGTGGGAMAAGAAATGATGCATGGAGGACATGGATATGGGGTGTTCCCACAACCATCCCACTGATAGAGCGAGCTGTGAGAAAAGTTTGGGGTTGAGGATGAGGGCACGTGCATTGCGGGGTAATTTTGGGGGAAATAGGCAGYTTGGGGGAAAATGGGGAGGTTTGGGCAGAAACTCAGGGATTTAGGGCAAAACTGGTGGTTTTGAGACGTCATGTGGCAATTTTGGGTAAAAAGTATCCATTTTGGGGATAAGCAAGCAATTTGAAATTATAAAGGTGAATTTTAGGGATAAACGGGGGGATTGGGGAGAAATGGGAGATTTGGGGTGGAAACGGAGAAATTAGGGCAAACTTGTGATTTTGAGACATAATTCTGTAACTTTGGAGCAAAAATGTCAATTTTAGGGATAAAGGGGGATGTTCAGGGGGAATAATGGGACTCTGGTAGTAAAAAGGGCAAATTTGGGTCAGAGTAGGGACACTCTGGGTTAAAATCAGGGATTTAGGGCAAATCTGCCAATTTTCAGACATAATGTGCTATTTTAGGGTCAAAAGTGTCCATTTTATGGATAAATGGGAGGGAAATGGACAGTTTTTGGCTAAAATGGAAAAACTGAAGTCAGAGCAGGGAATTGGGATATCAAAATCCAGGATTTAAGGCAAYACTTGTGATTTTCAGACAAAACAGRYARATGGGTGGGGAGGGAAGCAACTCATTTGCTTTTGTGGGAGTTGTGGGCCGAGGGGAATGCCTGCAAACCCTTCCAAGTGTGATTAAAGGYGCAGAGCAGGACGCACGGTCGGGGTGCTCGTAGGGCAGCCAGTGGTGTCGGCTGCCCCGGAACTCGAAGTGGGAATTGCGCTGCTGGCACTGCTGAGCCCTGAAATCCTCAAAGTGCTTTGGACACTCCTCGGTGCTGCACAGCTGGAACTCAAAATTCACCCCGGAGCAGTCGTCACCTCCATTGATGGGCCTGGCAGAGGAAAACATTGCAGAGATTCTCATCAGGGACAAACTTCCCTGGGAGGGTGGGGAGCCCTGGCACAGGGTGCCCAGAGAAGCTGTGGCTGCCCCTGGATCCCTGGMAGTGTCCAAGAACAGGTTGGGCAGGACTTGGAGCACCCTGGGATGTGGGAATGTGTCCCTGCTCATGGGAATGGATGAACTTTAAGGTCTCTTCCAACCCAAACCAGTCTGGGATTCTATAATTCTATGGTATTCTTGGATCCACCAAAAACGATCCCCTTTCAAGGGGCTTGAACAGAATCTGCACCCAAAACCCAAATGCCATTTGCAGTGACCCCTCTGAGGACCCTGGGTGGGTGCAATTCCCACACCTACATTGGGTTGTTGCACTGGCGCGTGCGGAAGCGAACCCCGGTCCCACAGGTCCGTGAGCAGGAGCCAAACTTGGTCCAGGGCCCCCAGTGTCCATCCTGCTTCAGCTGGTTGGTGTTCTTCCACATGCAGTGACCCTTGTAGCACCACTGAGGGAAYGGGGTGACAACAGACACAAACCCCAAATGAATTGTGTAAGCACAGTASAAGAACATTTTGCTGCTGTCTGGGGCACGCGCAGATGGTACATGTGGCTCTTCAGTATCTCAAAATAAAGGGAATTTCCTAGAAAACCCCAGGCATTTCAGTATAATTATATAATTGAAAATGGATTGGCAGGACATCCACTAATGGGGATATTAAGGGGAAAAATCAAGCACTAATCCTCAGCCTACACAAGCATTTGCCACAGGATGTGTGGACCATGAGTTCTGAGCAGTCATCCCACAGTAACAGCATCATCTGCTTCCCTGGATTCCTAAAGGCACTCTACAGAAACTTCACAGATGAGACAGAACCCCAAAAAATATAACAAAGAGGTCACAGAATAGGCTGCACCTCAGCTGGAATTTCTAAGCCCAAAATGCACCGTGGCAAACCTTTACAGCTCACAGAATATCCCGGGGGGAAAGCACAGCTCCTGTTTTCCACACGTTCTCTCTTCACCCTGGGAGTGTCAGGCAATTCCCTGTTTCCCTCTGTGCCCTTCAACCCAAATGGACCTAACTTGTTTTTTTCCCCAAGACAAACACAGTGCAAAGCCCAGACTCACTTTYCCTGGGGCACATTCTGTGCCATCGAGGGGAGGTCCTTTCTTGGTCTTGCAGAAGTAGGGGTTRTCAGGATGGCTGCACCACAGCTGCTTGCAGGGATCAAAGGTTCGGAACTGAAACRACAGGCAGGAGAAGAAATGCAGAGCATGAGATGATTTATAAATCATACAGATGATTTATTCTGGATTAGTAAGTATTTAGTGTATTTTATTTAYATTTTATTTGTATCTTTTATTTTTTCTACTTTTTGGATGAGTGCAACCCACTCTATGAATTCCATCTCACACAGCCCAGTAAACCCAGTATCTTCAGGGCAGTGCTTATTCCCTGGCATCCCCCAGCCCTGTGCCAGGRAGGAAAGAAGACACCCAGAAATGGGACAAAAATTAGACTTTTTTTTTTCTCTGTTTCTTTCTTGTGCTCGCTCCCACTAGTCTGTGCTATATGGACCAGGTTGCCACTCATTTTCCCATTATTCCACAGGACCCAGAGGACAGGCTTTCCCCAGAAACATCCCTCATCTCTTGGCAGATCTCTTTGAAATGCCCCATTCAGTTCCTGCACTTGCTGTGTGTTTATTCCTGGGTGTCCAGCACGTACTGCTGTGCACATCCTGTAGCCCACRCCGAAGTCGAAGCGGCACTGCTCATCCATGGAATAGTTGATGCCTGGCAGCTCGGGGAGCTTGGGCCAGTCATGCTCAAAAGGGTCATCGAGAAGGCAGTCATAAGAGCTGTGAAAAGAGACCCAGAAAAGCAGACCATGAGAAGATGAGTATTCTGAATTCAATTCAAGTGTCCAAGGCCAGGGCGGTGGGGCTGATAGTGGAAKGTGYYCCTGTTGGTGGMAGRGRKTTTGGGACAAGATGAGYTTTACTGTCCCTTCCAACCCAATCCATTCTGGCCTTCTGGGACAATGTGACACCTATTCCCAACCCCTCTAGAGTTAAGGGAGTCTTTCCATGGACTTTCCATCCTCAGTGGATGGGTACAGAACAGCCCCCCCCATGTGAGGACACAGCATTCATGGGTTGGAGCTTTTCTAACAGAGATTTGAAGGGGAAAGTGTCTGAAAAAGAGGGATCAGAGAGTGGTTGCCCCCGGAGGCCTTACTGGATGTATCTCCTGAGCTCCTGGCCGCTGCAGCGGGACCAGTGGTAGCGGTGGAAGGCAGCCTGCACCAGGGGGGCCATGACGCTGCCCATCGCCGTCTCGTCCCCACATCTGTTCCCTTGCCCATCGTGCTCCATGCCCAGCCTGCAAGAAAGAACCTGCTCAGAGCTCCTGTGAAAACAGCTATGGAAGAGGGGCCGAATCTGAGCCACAGCCAGCTGGGGAGAAGGCAGTGAAGGAGCAGACTAAACCAGCTCCTGTCTCCACTGCCTCTACCTTCCAGATCCCTTCCTGACCTTTCCCTCACCCCAGAGGAAACAAAGRTCACCCTCCTCCCCTTCCCTTCTTCCCCCATTCGTCTCTCCATTGCTTCAGCCACTATTACATTCCCAGGGAGACGGAAATAAAACTAGGACAGCTTCTTCAGAGCCATTAAACCCAACCCTTGGGGCAAGAAGGRGGTGCAGCACAGCATTTTGGTGTGATCTGATGGTAAAAGTTGCACTTACACATGCCCAGTCTCATGAGCAACAACAAAGGCTGATGAGAAGCCGTCCTCGTGGTTGAGGGTGCAGCTCCGGACCGGGTGGCACATGCCTGTCACAGGAGCATATCCTACAGACAGACAKTGGGGCTGAGTCTTGTGCTCAGGACACGATCTTAAATCAGCCCCCCCAGTAAACTTCCTTCTCCTCAGGAAAGGCTCAAATTGCTGTGAGGCCAGGGTAGCCTGCCTGGCTCCTCATCCTGACCAGCCTTTGGGAATTCCTGCCCATTATCATTAGCTCCCTGAGTCCAAAGGGTGGATGCAGGTGTCAAAGTGGCTGGGTGTCTAAAAATGGAAATCTGTGCTGAAAGGTGCAATAAAATGAAGAGGAATGCCACATGCATTGAGGTTCCCAGCCCTTCCTGCATACACAAGAGTTTGAAGAGAGTTAAGAGGTATTTATTTACAACTCTCAAGAAAGAAATTCAGTCTACATTTGGCTATAAATGGCAAGGACTCATGGCAAAGTCTCCTTGCTTTTGAAAAAAGCCTGTGGAATGAACAAGACGAGGAGCTAACAACGCAATTCCCAATTTTTCCTCTTTTCTGGCAAGAAACACCGAGCGCAGAGCTCTGCCCCGGGTCAGCTGCATTACCTTGCATACCAGCGGGCCCAAAATCTTGCCTGGTTAAGAAGATGGCATGGTCRTGGTGCTCAGCATGGCTGGGGTCTGCTCTCTGCTGCTGATAGGCCCAGCGGCACACGTTCTCCAGGCTGCGTGACGGGTTCCCCCTCTCGATCAGGCTGATGGACTGACAGAGCAACATGTCAGAGCCAGCTCCTCCTAAAGCAGCAATTTCACGTGGATTTGGAGGTCCTGCCCAGCAGATGAAGTGCTGAAGTTGCTTGCTCACCTTTGCGTAGCCCAGCATGATCATTCGGACCAACACGACGTTGATGTGAACACCCAGGGACTCGTCGTGGTAAATCTCATTCACCTGAGGAAAAAAAGAGGAAAAAATTAATGAGAAAATAACCCACTGATGATACCAAGGAAACCTCCAAGGCCACAGAGATGTTATTCCAAGGACTTGTATCATTACAATCCTCAGAAGAGGATTCCAGTCTCGGACCATTTCCACACAGTGAAAAATGTAAATTCACTTCGTGTCACCACATACCCTCTTCACATGGAATTTTGGGAAGCATGTCAAGCCTCCTCTCATGTTTCATGGATCAGGGCTCAAAGAAAAGGGGATTAGGGAGAAGATGTCAAGTACAARCCCTGCAAATCACAAAATCCTGCACTGCTTTGRRAGGGACCTTACAGCTCATCTCATTCCCCCTCTYTGCAAGGGCAGAAACASCTTCCASTAGACCARGCTGCTCCAAGCTTATCCTGGAACACTTCAGCTCTTCTTGTTTTGAAGAGTATTTTTTTTAGGAGGAACTTATGCTGCTGCCCTACTTTTTCAAGATCAGTTAGAATTCTGTGGTCACTTCTGTACTAAAGAGGGGCTTTGTGGCAGGGAWGTTAGAAAAACAGAATTATGCAGATGGGCCAAAAGTTGTCCTTCTTGAGGCCTTTCCCTGTGTCTGGGAAGGTGAGAAATGTCCTGGCACCAGAGTGTGAAACATCTGCAAGTCCTCAATGAGGCTCCTCATTCCCCTAAAAACAAAATAAATATTATATTATGGGCAATTGGTGAGAAATAAACACCCCTGTTCAGAGGCTGGTGGTTGGAGCAGGAGTTAGAGAGTTGTTTCATTTTGCAATCAGGCTAAACAGAACTTCCCCTCAGGGAAAAAGGTCACTGGGACTTGTCCAGACTGTGGGCCCTGGTGCAAGGATTTGAGCCCGTGGTGTAAACCTGAAATCCCTGAGGCTGAGAGCAGTGTCAGCAGGGCAGTGGGACAGAGAATGGGCACAGAGCTCAGCTGCCTGTCCTGTGAGGCAATCATCCCAAAGGTCAGTTATTCTGCTTCTATTTTCTCCCCATTAATGTAACAGCATCGCTCCCACAAAGGGCTGGGCTGGAATAAATGTTCACAAATGTTCACAAATGTTCACAAATGTTCACAAATGTTCACAAATGTTCACAAATGTTCCTTTGTGCCAAAAGACAACGGGGGAGTGACTTCAAGACACAGGAATGACTTTTCCTGGAGGAAAAAAGGACTCTGGAGTCAGCCCCACAGCTGCTCCCAGCAGATGGAGCTGCAGGTCTGTAAAAGCCACCAAAGTGCTTTGGGACATGGATCAACCCCTCTGCTCACWGGAAAGGTTTATAAACCAAAAGCACAATACTCTGCAATAACGTGTAATGGAGATTTGGAGCTGATGTTCCACAGGGTACGTGGAAAAAAGGAAATTATTCTCTCAGYGATGCTGGAAAGCATCACATTGGTTGGGTTAAATTCATAAAGGAAGAATTTTTTTTCCTCTCAGATTCTAAGAACTCAAATTTAGATGACCTGTAAGCYTTAGGAATAATTTTTAAATTATTCCAGGAATAAAAAGAGTGTAAAASAAACAAGAATCATTCCTACATCCATAAAATCATTATTAATGGGAGTCATTAAGGGTATAATTAGTCTCTCATCTTCACCCTTAAGAGATTTTTTCCTTTCCTGGAAAACCTTATGATCCCACACTTTCTAAGACAGATCTGCTGGGATTACCAGAAGGTTTGCTCTGTCAGAGAACCACTGAGAGTTTAGAACACTTTTTCCTCCACATGTTTATTCTTTAATCAGTTTTTCTCCAGAAATGTGTTGTAGGAGAAGCTTGGAATTACTAGAAATGGATCAAGTTCACRTTTTTTCCTTACTGCTTTTCAACTATGTCTAAATTTTTGCAATTGCCCTAGGAACCTAAGGTGAAAAAGAAGAATCAAAGGAACATCTTGAAAACACAAAACCTTATCCAGCAGCAGTCAGAACGATCCCATTGATATTTTCCCCACCCCTGGTGCCCCTACAAGAGCTGCCACCAATGATTCCTGCTGGCACACAAGCTTTGTAAGATACTCACGATGTTCATGAGGGTCAGGAGGTAGTTCTGGACGTGTTCTTTGCCATGGAACCTGACCACAGAGTCGTCCACCCCCAGCAGCACCTCGATGTTGTGGTCGTTGTCTCCGGCGTGGCGGCGCCGCCGCAGGCTCTGGTTCAGCTGCTGCTCCACGTGCAGGGAGCTCAGTGCTCCCAGACCCGACAGGAGGGACCCTGCAAGGACAGGGAGGCATCAGGGCACTGCTAATTCCTGCCCCAGCCCTCCAAACATTCAAGGCCATGCTTGGATGGGGCTAATGGAACTGGGTGGCCTTTGAAGCCTCTTCCAACCCAACCCAACCCAACCCAACCCAACCCAACCCAACCCAACCCAACCCAACCCAACCCAACCCATTCTGTGATTCCATCACATGACCAATAGAATTCCAGTTCCATTTCAGAAACAACCTCCCACAAGGCATCCTCACCTGCAGAGACACCACTTTCTGGATAAAATAAATCAGGAACCATGAGGTGGGAGAAATCACCAGAAACCCAATGAAAACATTCACTCAACCACATGGATCTAATTTATCACGGTTCTTACTCCACACATAAAATCCAAAGCTCTTTCCAGTTATGGCAGTAAAACAAACCATGCCCAGGGATTTTTGACAGGTGAAGCCTCACACTGTAGGATACTTGGCTCTTCCCAAATGGACACCAGCACCCCAGCAGTCTGAGCAATGAACATCAGCAAAGAACATCTCATGGTGCACACAATGAGCTGCATACCATGGCTATCAGGAGCATCCCTGTWCCCCTCTCTTCCCAAAAACACACAGGGACCTCCCTGCTCTATGAATCCAGCTGGAACAAGCAGCATCCAGGGGATGGAGAGGAGAGGAAAGACCAGTCCTGCCTTTCCCCTACGATGGCAAGCTTCCAGCCCTTTTCCTCTGTGCTGGAATTCATCAGTGCCAAGGCTGCAAGTCCACAAACTGGCCCTTCCTGCATCTTCAGGCACTCTCAAGGATGCCAGCCCYGGGACAGCACACCAGTGGGAAAATCAGACACCCATTCCAGTTCCAAAAACTGCTCCAGCTGGCAAAGCTGCTGAGTGCAGCATCCAAGGGAAACCCAGCTGAACGCTGCCACTCTGCAGTGCCCATGGTGCCTACTTCCCACACCTCACTGGGAATCAAACACTGGGTCCTGTCCCTAAATGCTGTGCCCTGTCCAAAAACACTGTTTAACACAAGTGGGTAATTATTCTCTTATCTGTTTTCCATAGCTCTGAGTGACTCCATAGCTCTGAGAGTCAAACCCCAGGTTACAGGTACTGCTGATGGCTGTTTGAGGGTGCAGTTTGCACTTAACAAAACATATGGGATCTAAGCCATCGAGTCCAACTGTTCCCCCAGCACTGCCAAAGCCACCACTAAACCATGTCCCCATGTGCCACAGCCACACAGCTTTTAAATCCCTCCAGGGAYGGGAAATCCATKGCTGCCCTGTGCCGCCTGTGCCAGGGCTGGACAACCCTTTCTGTATGAGATGTTCCCTTATATTTAACCTAAACCTTCCATGGCACATCTTGAGGCCTTTCCCCTTATCTGATCATTTGTTACTTGGGAGAAAGACAGCACACAGGCAACAGTGAGGAAACACACAGAACCAGTCTGGCTGTTTGGGGATTTGAGCTAGACAGACTAATCTGTCCTAATCTCATTCTGGAATTAACTGGTTYGTTATCTCTTCCTTTTTTAATTTGCTAGTCACCTGCATCACTTGCATCCCGATCTTACCTGCAGGAACAGATCAGGCCATGCTCYTGTGCCAGGAGAAATGGTTATTCTGGGTTACAGCATGTGTTTGTCTTAGAGTGCAACTGTGAAACAATGGAACTACAGCACTTACCCTGCTATTGAATAAAGCTGCCCAAATCTTATTTCATCAATGCTGTTATCAGCCAACCAACCCTCTGTGTGCCTAAAGAGAACCCTCAGCATCACTCACGTGGGAGATTCTTGCCATTTTATTTTCTATTGTAAAATCCGTGGGTTGAATTGTGTGCCAGTGATAGAAGCACAAATATATACATATATACACCTGACATCCATCTATCCATCGAGCTGCCTATCCATGCTCCTCATAAACATTCCCTTGCTCAATTGCCTAATTTAGCCTTTTTTCTGAAGATACAGCAAGGAAAGTATCAAGGGAATATCCACACCTTCACTAATTCAAAATTAAGCTAATGAGAAATCAGTATGGAACCAATTGAGATCAATCTAAGTCCCTTTCCAAAGAGTGTGTTAATGTACAGAATGTCCCCAGGGACAGACGTGTTCTGCAGCTACTAAAAAATTCCATTCTGCTCTTCTCAAAGTAAGGAAAGTAGGCCAGYCCATCCTGTCACCGCCTCCTGAGGCTTATTTTGAAGTGTGCCTCTTGAAAAACCAGGCATGAARAAAAGAATCATTTAGTTCAAAAGCACATTACAAACAGTTCCAAAAGAATTTTCACTGATTTCCACATGAATTGTGCACATGCAACATTTTTGTGGTGCTGTTGGTATGGCCTAATTGTGGGGGATCAGCAACAGAAAGCAGCCAGGTCATCAGGGCTAAGATATGATGACAGGATGCTCTCATTAATTCTGGGATCTGCTGGAAGTTGCGTGCTTTGATTTATTAGGACCTTAAAAACCAAAATTCTGGCACATTACGCATTGTCCCTTATCTTTTCTCAAAGAATTGCCTGAAATTGCCTTTTACTCCGGAAGCACCAAATGGCTTTCTACCACTGCCACAACAATTCAGTGGCATGAAAAGAATGCATCCTGTCCTGAGGTCTCTGCCCCAAACCCCTTCCCACGTGGAGCACTGACCCTGGGACCTGCAGGCTTGACTCCATGCTTTGGAGCCTTAATAGTGTCAGTGTCTCTGGAGGAGAGTGTTGTTTGCTTAAGTGCTGCCAAAACTTCTGCTTGTTTGTTTTTGGGGGCTGAGGGAAGAGTTTGCCTCTGCAGCGACCCCAGCTGAGCCAGTTGGCCATAAAAATACACACTTTTACTTGATGTTTCATTGGATGTTCAAGGCTGTATCCCTGAAGTGCTTCCAGRAGCCCCTGCAGAGCGTCTCTCTGGGATATTTCATAATAAATAAATATTATCTATGAACTTTTGATAACACCAAGCAAGCCAGCTCTGCTGCTGCAGAAACACAGAGGAGAACATKGGATTGAACGTTTCCCTCAGTGCAGATGGAAGAATCACTTGAGCATTAACAAAAACCAAATGAGAAAAACTCAGAGCAACCCACTTTAGAGTCACTAAAGTTAGAAAAGGTCCTTCTGCTCATCGAGTCCAAGTGCTCACCCATCCCTTCATGTCCCCCCAGCTGGATGGTGCCATCACATGAGGATGGAAGAGCTGCTGCACCTGAGAGTCACAGGATGTGACAGAGAAGGTTTGGTGCTGGTGTCACCTCTCAGAAAGGTGTCTCAGTGTCAGAGGTGTAGCAGAAGGCAAGGACACAAAAGCATTTCCTAAGGGAAATAAAATTGCCAGCAGCCAGGTTCAGACATAACTCCACTTTCACAGCACTTTCACTGCATTAAGGAATGAAGAAAAGAGAAAGAAAATGTTCTTGTGACTTCATGTGCAGACCTCCTGAGATGGTTAAGCTCAGAGAATTCCCTCTGTTTATGTTCTCCACCAGTGAGAGCTTTGGAGTGACAGTGACTGGCAGAATTACAAACAAACAGGGATTAGAGGAAGGTCTGAATCCCAAGGCTGCAGGATTAGTCACGAAATGCATGAACTCCACAGGCCACAAACACAGACCCCACCTCACTTTGTTCTCACACTTAAAAGAGGCAAGGAAAGATTTTGAAGTGCTGATGAAATATGTGCTTTTCTGGTACCCGAGCAGTTCCAGCTGCAGAGAGATTCTGGGAAGGAGGGAAGATTTCCTGCACGATATTCCCTGCTCTGACATCACGGGAAGGCTCTTCCCTTCCACCAGCAGCAAGAACAGCTCTGAGCCCTCATTTACACCAGGGCTCAGTGCCAGCTGCACACTCCGGGAGCCACGTAGAAACATAGCATAATCCTCTGTGTATTTSAAATATGTTTAGAGCCAACTCAGGATAAACTTTTCCAACAGAAAAGGCTGGAATTTTACCCCRTAATTTTCTTGTCATCACTTCCCTCCCTGGCATGAGGCTTTCTAGGASTGCAGGTTATCCTTACCTGGCAGCAAACACACACAGAACAAAGCCAGAACTCAAGGAAATTCTAATTAAATAGGCCTGAATTTAGGTCAACTATTAACTGTTCTTTTTCCATGCCATAACCAGAAACAAACAGAAAAGAGGAATGTCAGCCTGTTGCAGAGTTCTCAGTGCTGGAGAACATGGCTCACACAATCCCTGGACAGTCTGCACTCACCTGATCCATGGGGAAAGTGCTTTTAGATCTGTGGAGAATTAGTAGGGACGGTGCTGGTGGTGAGAATTTCACTGTGAGGCTCTAACACACWCTCCAAAGAGGAGGAATGAGGCTCAGGGTCAAACCCAGCTGGTTTGGAATAAAGACACTGCCCTGTGACACTGCAAAGCTGAGCCAGGGCACTGTGGAGAAGCAGAGAAGCCCCCGAGCTGCTCCTGCCCAGCACTAATACCAGATCACAGCTCTGCTCTGGCTTAGCTCAGCCTCAGGGCTTGCCCTGCCTCATCTGCTCTGCACCTTATTTTTAGCTGGGCTTTAGCCCTAACAGCCAACTYAGCCAACAGCTATCCTAAAACTACAAACCACAGCTACTGCAATTCCTGCTTTCCTAGCAGCAAAAAATCCTCCCTTGCCACATTTCTTTAATTATTTGGCTTTCACTCTATACATAGCAAGAATTCCATCATAATTTTATTTTGGAGGTACAGGTGACTTGGTGGTTAGTTTTGTTTGCTAATTTTTTTTTAGAACAGGTTACAGATATATACTTTCTACATGTCATTATTAAAAAAAATTAATTACGGGTAGGGCTGTAGTCTGGTTTTGACCCTGAATTTTAATATATGAAAATATATTAAAAACAGTCTCTTGACAATTCCAGTTTTTTTACCAAGACATTATTACAAGCTGTCAGTCTTCCTTCAGTTTAGCAACTTACACATGTAGCTTTAACTGTAATAAATTGATTTTTTTTTCCTTTGATTCCTAACTGGAATATCACATTGTAAAAG